TCCCCCGCCCGCAGGGATCCCCCAAATCCCCTCTCCCACCCCCCAAATCCTCACCCAGCTCCTTGACGATGGCGGCGAGGGGCAGCCGGGTCAGCGGGTGGATCTTCAGGGGGGCCTTGGCGGCCTTGGGCAGCCGGATGGAGCCTGGGGGGGCACGGGGGGCTCAGGGGGGGCTGACAGGGGGCTCACACCCCCCCTGCAGTCCCAGAGAAGGGTCCCAAACCCCCCTTCTCCCCCCAGTCCTAACATCCACATTTGGCTTTGATGGGGGTCCTGAATTCCTCCTGATGGGGGTCTCAAACCTCCTTGGGTGGGGGTCCCAAATCCTCTTGATTGGGATCCCAAATTCCCCATGATAAGGTCCCAAATCCCCTTTAATGGGGGTCCCAAATCCCCTTTAATGGGGGTCCCACATCCCCTTAGATGGGGTCCCAAACCCCCCCCATAGGGGTCCCAAACCTCCTTGGATGGGGGTCCCAAATCCCCCCAATGGGGATCCCAAATCCCCCCTGATGGGGGTCCCAAATCCCCCTGGATGAGGGTCCCAAATCCCCCTCAGATGGGGGTCTCAAATCCCTCCTGATGGGGGTCCCAAATCCTCCTGGATGAGGGTCCCAAATTCCCCCGATGGGGGTCCCAAATCCCCTTTAATGGGGGTCCCAAATCCCCTTAGATGGGGTCCCAAACCCCCCCCATAGTGGTCCCAAACCTCCTTGGATGGGGGTCCCAAATCCCCCCAATGGGGATCCCAAATCCCCCCTGATGGGGGTCCCAAATCCCCCTGGATGAGGGTCCCAAATCCCCCTCAGATGGGGGTCTCAAATCCCTCCTGATGGGGGTCCCAAATCCTCCTGGATGAGGGTCCCAAATTCCCCCGATGGGGGTCCCAAATCCCCTTTAATGGGGGTCCCAAATCCCCTTAGATGGGGTCCCAAACCCCCCCCATAGGGGTCCCAAACCTCCTTGGATGGGGGTCCCAAATCCCCCCTGATGGGGGTCCCAAATCCCCCCAGTGGGGGTCCCAAATCCCCCCGATGGGGGTCCCAAACCTCCTTGGATGGGGGTCCCACATCCCCTTTAATGGGGGGCCCAAATCCCCCCCATGGGGGTCCCAAATCCCCTTTTTTATCCCCATTTTTCCCTCAATTTCTCACACTTGACCTTGATGAGGGTCCCAAATCCCCCCTGATGAGGGTCCCAAATCCTCCTGGATGAGGGTCCCAAATCCCCCCGATGGGGGTCCCAAATCCCATTTTTATCCCCATTTTTCCCCCATTTCTCACACTCACACTTGGCCATAATGGTGTCAGCATTGATGGGAATCCCAAACCCCCATTTTTAACCCCTAAACCCCCATTTTTAATCCCCAATTTCCCCCATTTTTTCCCCCCAAACCCCCATTTTTAACCCCCAAAATCCCATTTTTAACCCCCAAACCCCAAATTTCCCCCATTTTTTCCCCGTTTTTCCCCGCTCACACTCGGCCTTGATGGCATTGGTGTTGATGGAGCTCCCAAATCCCCTCAAACCCCCATTTTTCCCCCCAAACTCCCATTTTTACCCCTCAAACCCCCATTTTTAACCCCTAAACCCCCAATTTCCCCCATTTGTTCCCCATTTTTCCCCGCTCACACTCGGC